TCGTCTTGGAATGAGGAAGCTGGGGTGTGACAGGATATATGGCCATTGATTTTCTTTTCTTTCTTTTCCCCCCTGAAAGTCGTGACGGTTTTGTTATTGTTAAATAACACCGTCTTTACAGAACCAATGAGATATTTGTAATACTACCCCGTTAGCTACCCACCATATTTACGTAACAATCACACAGATCAATGAAGAGCAATATTGCTCTTCATTGATCTGTGTGATTCAGTGTTTTAACTGACCTTTTCATGTCTATCCTTCTCCCCTCTTAAAGCCCTGTTTATGTGCACAACCCACACCTGGATGCACTGAAAGAAGACATCCTCTACCACTTCAGTCTAGGAACTGAAACTCATAGCCTACAAGATATGTTTGGTGATGTCAAAGTAATGTATCCCATAGTCATCTTTTTAAATTTTTATTTTAAAGCCTTGAGCTTGTTTTTGTCTGTGCGGTTCTCACGTCTATCTTCATGTGTGTGCTTTACTGTAGTTTGTTTGTGTGGGTGGGAGTCCCTGGAGAATGAAAGCATTCACTGAGTACATCGCAGCTGAGCTCGGTATGGAAGACCCCAAATCTGAGTATCCAAATATCTGTGCTGGGACGGATCGTTACGCCATGTACAAAGTTGGCCCTGTCCTCTCTGTCAGTGTATGTAAGAACAATATCCTCAATGTTATTTTGTTTTCCACATGATCGTTTTCTTAACTTGTATTTGTTAATCTACCTAAATGCATAATAATATCATGAACGTCATTTAAAATTGTGTATATCTCTGCTTGTTTTTGCAGCACGGAATGGGCATCCCATCTATTGCCATAATGTTGCATGAGCTAATAAAGCTCCTCTATCATGCAAAGTGCACAGATGTTACAATTATACGCATTGGGACATCAGGTGGAGTAGGTACGTGCATTCGGACCCTTTTCTTGGTGAGGAAAGGTGAAGTGACCCTTTGGAATTGGGTGCTGTTTGGGATTAATTTGTAGATTAAGCCTAAAGACCAGCTTGTGATAGGATCTTAGTTACCATGGGACTAATTACATGTCATACCAGACCCATTTTCCAAATCATTGTAGTAAACTAAACAACCAAAATAAGTTTTTTTGTTTAATTTGATAAATATTTGTCAGTTTGGGGACTGATTTATTTCTTGTGCGCAGCTGTGCAAGATGCAGTTACAAAATGTTACCGGTGAATAGCTGAAAGCGAAAGTATGAACCTGTCAACAAAATGGTCTCTAGGTTAATGATTTGTTTTCAGTTTAGACAAAACGAGACAAAGGTTTCTGTGTTATTAGTTACATTTTAACAAAGCTCAAAGGATCGGGTATTACAACTAGCGGGAAAGCAGAGATGGTGTAAGCAAAAACGAGTGACAACGTAAGAGTGATGAATGCTGAGCACTAGACTGGAAAACTGTGAAATTTTAGGTCAAAGTTACACTTAAACGAAGATCAGTATTGAGGGGTTACATATTTTTTTGTCATTGTAAATATATAATAATACATGTGCAGCATTAGCAAGCTAGAAATTCTTTTGTCATTTAATAATTTTCCTGGTAATTGTGTCGCACGCACTTTCCAGTAGATGGATCGTGTGATGACGCAAGAGATGACAACAGAGTCTTTGTTTTGAAAAATCCCAAGAAACAGACTAAGGTTCCTTAATCAAATCGCTTCATGAAAACATTTTCACAATTAATTGCAAATGCTTGGATTTAACTGATTTTTTCAGACTTTTGAAAGAGAGATCAGCTGATCTTTGAAGCCTGCCTTTGAAATTTACACAGCCTTGGCCTTACACAAGCAATGGCATGAACATTTAGCTGTTGCCCTGTGTTGCATCTTTGATTTTGAAGTCTATACATGTAACATTTCCAGCACATGATGCACACGATGGTGATTCAATTCTAGAAGCTGTGACTAAATTTTACAACCACAGATCTTCATAGTAAAGATATATGCTCTAGAAAAAAAGTAAATTAAAGTAATTTTTCCTAAAATCTTTACATTTGTATTTTCACTTTAAAAAACTTTTTCATCTAACCTGCTGTATTTGGCTTTCAGGACTTGATCCTGGCACTGTTGTTGTCACCAAGCAGTCTGTGGATCCCACCTTTCAGCCCAGATTTGAGCAGGTGATCCTTGGGAAGACCGTGGTGCGCAATACTGATCTGGACCAAAGCCTGGCTGAGGAACTGCTGCAGTGCAGCAAGGAGCTAAGCCAGTTTAAGACAGTTGTAGGCAACACCATGTGCACGCTGGATTTCTATGAAGGTTTGAGTTCTGATGCATCAATGTGTTAGCGAGTACACTGTTTGCCAACATCTATAGTCTTTCACTGTCTTCCTGTTTTCTCTGTTTGATCACACGTGTAGGGCAAGCCCGTTTGGACGGCGCTTTCTGCTCCTACACTGAGGAGGACAAGCAAGACTACCTCAACAAAGCTCAGGAAGCGGGAGTTTGTAATATAGAGATGGAGTCATCAGTGTTTGCTGCTATGTGTAAACTGAGTGGTCTACGAGGTAAGAAATTTCAATATCAGCATCGTTTTACTTCTGACAGCATTTTGAGTGTCTGAAAACTTTTATCTCTGTTTGTGAAAAGCGGCTGTGGTTTGCGTCACGCTCCTGGATCGGCTGAAGGGAGATCAGCTGGGCAGCTCTCACGAAGTTCTTCACAGTTACCAGCAGCGTCCTCAGATACTGGTCGGCTACTACATTAAGAAGCAGCTGAATGCCAAAGCGAAAGATAGCTAAATAAATGCAAGCATACAGTGAATTCTTATTATCTTCTGTCTAGAAGCCATACCTTTAAATATCTCCAAAAGACTTAAATGATGCCTTCTTTTTATCCTTTGACACTGATTTAGTTGATACACTGCTATAAAAACATGCACCACTACACTGTTGTTTAATTTGTATTTCTCTTAAGTACACTTGAATTAATGTAGCACCCCTGTATTTAAAGTGAGTTAAGTTCATTAAATATGTGTATTAGTTAAGGTCGTCTTTGTTCTACTTGACATGTAAAGTTTCAGATCCGTAAAACTTGAACCTGTAAGTCTAAACTTACAGTGGTGCCATAACAAAATGACCTTTTTACACCTATTATAAAAAATAAATTTTTAAAATATTATATAGGTTTAGATTTGTTGTTGAAAACTTAACTGTGTATGTGGAGATTTTTTTTTTTACATTTTTATTGTCATCCAGATTGTATTGAGTTTCTTCGACCTTTGTATATGTGCTCAGCATTTCTTTCACAATATAAAAGCTGCAACAACACTCTGCTTGAGAAAGATTTCTGCTTTGTGTCATAAATAAAGCAAGCTAGTAAAGCTTTGTGCAGTCTGAAATTTCACAACATATTAAGAAAAGAATTCTTTATGTAAGAAGCACTGCGGCACAAATGAAATGTGAAGTTTGTTATATGATCTGTCAGTATTTGCAGCTCTTGAAAAGCCTGGTGAAGTCAAGATCAGCATCCTGACCAATAAACAAGCCAAAGATATTAATAAATGGTGTTCTGGTGTGTACTGATTGAACAGTAAATTATAAATAATAATAATAATAATAAATCTCCCTAAAAGATTTAGGGTAGCCCGATGTTGATGTCACATTAACTGTTAACGCCACATTAAAGGACACTTTTACGGTGGTCAATTTATGGAAAAGACACAAAGGTTTGAGGGAAGGAATTATTTTGTCATTTTTAGGGGTCAGAGTAATTTTTCATGTTGCTGCTTTTTTTTTTGTAATAAAAAGCTCACACGGTATTAGTCGCTTAAAAATTGGACACTTATTAAAAAGCTCAAGGTTTTTCATCAGCAAGCTTAAGTCATGTGGTAGCTAGGTTAAAATGTGACACATGTAACAACTGAGCCCCGCCCGAGTATAAGAAATGAGAAAGGTATTTGAAGCTAGGCATGTAAGGGCAGTGTTGTATAAATATATCTGTTTGTTTCTTTGTTGGCAGAATGGTTTGTGTTGAGCCACACACAAACAGCTGACCGAAGGAAGTATGGCTTTGTTGTGTTGTCTTCCAATATCGGCTTTCAGAGTCCATTGGTTGTTAATTATTTTTTGTTACAATTAATGACAAAAATGGAAAGAATATCTACTTTGAGGTCGTACCTTAGGCTTGGATTTAATGAAGGAACAGTTATTGAAAGATGTTTCAATCAATCAGCAATTCATGTAAATTCGAGTAAAAATCATGGCAAACTAGGTTGTCTTGGTCTAACCTAGTTTGTCTGTTAAATTCAGCTATATGGGGAAAACACTTGGTTTTAAAAATTTCAGCTGGTGTCACTGGGTTCATTTTCTAGAAAGATCTGCTGAGATTGAAGTTACTTTGGACTGCTTTGGTCAGAGGAATAACTTTAGCACACTCATTCCCTTTTTTGTTTAATGCTGGTGATAGATGACGCATTAAAGGTTGAGATAAAATTGAACACTCTGACTAATGGCGAGTGTCATTGCTGATATTTTTGACCAGCAGGCGTGGCAGCCTGCAGCAGCTCGGTGAAGAAGTCTTCATTCTTACCTCTGTATGTTAACAGATCGTTTTCACCGCCACAGCTTTGACACAAATCAGTATGTGAATGCAGGTGTTATAATCACGTAGACTTTGGTTTTGTTTTTTTCAATCTAAACTTTAGTCATTTATAATTCCTGTTACTACCCCTGTAACTTCTTCATACTGGACTATATCATGACACAGTTGCAGGTTGAGGAAATATCGGTTGTTGTCAGTGTGGTGAATCATCTGCACACCAGGATATTCACTTCTTTACACAAAAAAAAGTGACCATGTTGGTGTATTTTATTTCTGGCCTATATTTTTTGCACTGTTTATTTGGATCGTTCTCAATCACATTATTATTCAGGCTTGAGGACAGATAACGGCTTTATTCTGTGGTGTCTCAGTATTTTGAGCTTCTAGCCTGCACTGGGTGGTGTAAGACGCGCGGCGCGTGAGAGGATGGTCTGTTTGCGCGCTCCCGTGCGTGCCCACCTCCCGTCTGCTATCCGATCCTTCCTCCGTCTCTTCGCTGACTCAGTGCCTTAAGCAGCATCACCGCTCACCAGAACAGATCTACAGCATCCTCTGCGGAGAAATACATCAGCCATGGCTAAAACAGCAACCGGTAAGCATTAGTCTGGATGGGTTCAGATGGATTAAAGCGGGATGGATGGACGGTACAGGTGCTTGATTTTTGCGGAAGGTCTGTGTCGGCCCGGTGTATCCTACCGGCTGGTGGTCGTGCTTCTGTAACAGCTCCACCATAAAAATAAATATATAAATAAGTAAAATAAAATAAAAGCTTTCTTTGCCGTTTTCAACACTAAATTGCATTAAATCACATTTCTGCAGACTATTGTCTCCACGCAGGACTCTATTGATGATAAGAATGTGGGCTCACGCCGAGCATCCTCTGTCGTTAGGTTACTGAAAAATCTCCTATATTATCCTACCTATGTAAACATATTTATTTTATATAACAATTGTGTTAGGTAACAGTGTGTAATTATACAATATGGGCTGCCCGAGAGGGGTTTATTAACCTTACAATGCTCCACCTGCGGTTCACGCTACAGCGGCCCCAACATGCAGCATAATGCAGACGGACCCCACCCAAGATGCTGGGTTGCCGATCATTTAGCCGACAACAAATCATTTGGAGGCTTCATCTGTTTCACTTTTACATTCCTGTGGCTATAATGAAAGGTGCAGGTGATCGTTTTACTTTTTTTTTTTTTATCACTTAAACGTCTCCTTAAGATGATTGTTGTCGGTTATAAGATTGCACCCTTTATTCATGTCCTTAGCTTTCCTTATCTATTCCTTGCAAAGGATTGCACCAGCTGTGGCAGAGGTGCTGCAGTTTATTTTCCAAAAATTCATTATTGATATATGTTACAAAATAAAATGTAGGTATAGTTAGCACACTGATATTAAGAACTAGATTTTACTCTAGTCATCTCTTCTGATGGGCAGTTATTGTTGTAGGCCAGACATTTAGCATGGGTTTGTTTGTTTTTGGCTACCTATTTTACAAAATTCTTAATATAAGCCACCCATTCTTTCAGGGGTTTTTTTTTTTTTTTACATAAAATATAATGTGCCAACTCACTATTCTGCATGTAGTAGCATAGATTTGTAGTTAACCAGACAGGTGTAGGGCAGGGTGGGAGGCAGGCCAGCCCTGCAGCAAGGGGCTGCTTCACAAGCTGGCCTTTGCAGCAGAAGGCTTAGCAGCACTGACAATCTGTAGTCCTCTCTGAAGAGCCAGGTGGGCACTTTGTCAAAAATAGAAAGAGCACGAAGAACTGGCGGTGAAGATTAAAAATAGTCCAAAGATCTGGTGAAAGTTAATTAAAAAGAAGAACGTTCAGGTCATTAATCTGGTGTTTTTTATGACTATGACACCACGGTGACCGAGGCGCATTATTGGACAAAGCTGTTTCATTTCCTGATTTTAGCTCACATGTGAACTTCAGTAAAAGTAATGCTTGTTATGCTCTTAGTTTGATAATGCTCACAGAATACATTCATCCAATTAATTATTAAGCAGTGCTGCACTTAGATACATTTCAGACTTTTAACAGCTCATTAGGCAGTCATGTGACGCTAACAGGCTTGTTGAGAATCTCCCCTTTCTTAACAAGTAATTAAACTGAAAATCTCAACTATATGTATCCATTTGTGACAATGTTGGTTGTGACAAATGGATAATGCTGTGTTTGTTTTATGGTTTTATGTTCTTGCAGCATACAAAGAGAAGATGAAGGAGCTGTCTGTCCTCTCCCTCATCTGCTCCTGCTTCTACCCAGAGCCACGCAACAAGCTTGTGTGTGACTTTGAAGGTACAAAATCAGCTGAATCATGGATTTTCTTTTAAATTAAACAAGCTAACTCCATGTTGATGATTTCTCTAATGCAGATTTTAGACAAAAAAATACGTATCATTGGACTGATACAGTAATATGTCTTGACTTTGCTACCATTAGCATTGTAATTGTGTCATTTACAGACATGGAGGTGAAACCTATAAACAAGCGGGCCTCGGGTCAGGCTTTTGAGGTGATTCTCAAGCCTCAGTCTCCAGTGTCAGATGTAGCCCACAACCTTCCCTCACCCCCAAAGAAGGATATCTCCTTGGACGACATTGAGAAGAAACTTGAGGCAGCTGAAGAACGGAGGAAGGTGAGTATATTGCATCGATGTCAACAAGCTTTAGGTGTTTAAACTGTAAAACAAAAGAAATCTTTGAGACATTTAACTATGGAAAATGAATAATTCATGTTACAAGATGGAGGCGCAAATGATTCAATTTGAATACTTCTGTATATTCAGTACCAAGAGGCCCAAGTGCTGAGGGTTTTGGCAGAAAAGCGAGAACATGAGAGGGACGTGTTGCTAAAGGCTATGGAAGAGAACAGTAATTTCAGCAAGATGGCTGAGGAGAAGCTCCAGATGAAGATGGAGCAGATCAAGGAGAACCGTGAAGCCCACCTGGCGGCCATGATGGAGCGCCTACAAGAGAAGGTGAGCTTTATCAGAACTAAAAGCATATGAAAGGGGCTGGGCAGCGTCCCGATGAGTAATCATTCTCACTGTGCTGTTGTGATGTTTCCAGGAGAAACACGCGGCTGTGGTGCGCAGAAACAAAGAGCTGAGGGAAGAGCTGACAGCATGAGCCTCACACGAGTCCAGACTTCTTCGATCCATCCACCCAGTCCTGTCCCCTTCCTCGGTAGAGCCTTCACCGTCTTCGTAACAGACACTCAACCCTGGAGGCTGAGAGGTTCAAGGACCTCACCACTATATCACAACTCACCATGCCACCAGTACTCACTATTATCAGTATTATCAGTGGATACAAACATGAATAACACTCATCTTGAGAATTGAATGGTTTTGTTGATTTAAGAGAAATTGAAAGAATATGGTTTTTATTGGCTTTAATTATTTCAGTACTTTTATCTATCTATCTATCTATCTATCTATCTATCTATCTATCTATCTATCTATCTATCTATCTATCTATCTATCTATCTATCTATCTATCTATCTA